GTAAACTGCACTTGGTGCTTTCTTTAAAAAATAATTTTACAACATATAATGGATACTATATAGTTATTTACTTAATTTCTCCATCTCATTGGCATTGTTTACCAATAAGTTCTTATGATGGAATAAATTATGCATCTCAGTCTTTCACTCCCTAGTAATACAATTACATGTCCGTGTCCATTCCATGGCCTCATGGCAGATGGAGTGCTTTTTTCCTGATCCTTCGCTTGGGTTTTGGCCACATGGATTGCTTTGGCCAATGAGATGTCAGTGCACGTGACCTAAGGAGAGTCTTCAAACGGGCTTGCACAGTTGGGTTTCCCCTCCTGCACTCCGTTGTTACACCAGGAGAACGTCTTCTGGGTCACTGCTGCTTCTCTAGCCTGAGACCCAGGAGGACACAGGAAGAAAGGACATGAGCTCAACCCACAGCCTGGTGCCAAGCCCAACCCACACCCTGGTGCCAAGCACAGATAACTCCAAGCTGAAGCTCAGGTTGACCTTGAGACCAAGAATAGAAGCTTATTGCATTTCTAAGCTGTTGAGGTTGGGGAGTTTTGTCATGTACTATCACTGTGACAATACATGATTGATATATATTTTTTGAAACTTAGCTTTTGGCTTCTGAGACACCACTTTCTTCTCATTCCCTGATTGTTTCCTGGTTCCTACCTCTACAGAGTGCATTTGCTGGCCTCTCTTTCCATCAACTCGCTATATGTTACTATCCTCATGGGTTTTATTCTTGGATTTTTCTTCTTTCTCATTTTATTCCCTTTCCCTGGACAATCACATCCACTCTTACAGCCTCAGATAAACTTATGTGCTGATAACTTTGAACGATGTGAAACCAGCCCTTCACCTGAACTATTGGCCCAAATCATCTGACCCTTGGATTTCTCCATTCAGGTGTCCTATCATACAATATGTGACCTTTTGTGTCTGTCTTCTGTCACTTAGCATAATGATGCTGAGGTTCATTCATGTTGTAATATGTATCATGACTTCATGAAGCCTTTTTATGGCTGAATAATATTCCATTGTGTAAACAGGCCTCAATTTACTTATCCACTCATCCTTTGATGGACTCAATATTTTTCATTTATTTTTTAAGCGGAGGTACTGGGAATTGAACCCAGGACCCCATGTATGCTAAGCACCCACTCTACCACTGAGCTATACCCTCCCCCTACCCAGTGTTTTAATGAAATCCCTTTCTGCTAATATTAGCCATACTGGTTTTTTAAATTAATTAATTATTTTTTAAAAAGTAACTTTATCAAGTACCTTTTACCAGATACTCTTAATCTCACTTTAGGTTTATTCATTTATTTATTTGTTTTAATGCTGGTACTGGGGATTGAACCCTGGACCTCACAGACGTTAGGCATATTCTCTACCACTGAGCTATACCTGCCCCCTACATTTGTCTTTATTATTTGTAACAAGAACCTTGTGTGAAACTTTCTGGAATGTAACGAATCATCAGGTGAGGACTCAAACCCAGAATTAGAAAACCACGAGGATTTTCTCCAACAAATCTCTTCTCTTCTCCCTGTGTTTGTTCCTTCAGCCCTTCTCTGCTCCTCAGTCCATGGGCTAGTTATGGGCAGGCAGAAGGGGGCTGGATTTACGTGTTCCAGCCAAGCCACATAGTGGTATGGATTGCCTGTCCCTCAATGCCAGCTCCAAATACCCTGGTCCAACCAGCTATGGTGAAGTGGAGGGAATGTGGTATAAACATGGTGCTGGGACTTCACGATCACTGCTGTGTGAATTAGCAGTTCCATTCAGAAAAAAGGTTAAACACTGTGAGCTGGACAGACATCCCCAAAGGTATCTGCCTTGGGGCCTGGAGTTTGTAAATTACAGTACACTGGGTTCTCCTGGAGACAGTTTCTCTTACAATCAGTCTTTCCTTTAACCAAGGTGTGATTATGGATTAAGCTCAATTCTGTAACAGGCTCTTAACGTTCCAATTTACAAAATGGAGAAGATGAGACATCACTAATCTTCTGTAAATATAACCAAACATAAGAAAGCAAGAATTGCACAGAAAACACAGAAATAGCCCCAGGTCTGAACAAAGGAAGTGAGGAGAACAAGGACTTTATCACTGAATTTCACATCTGTGGGCACAGGCCCAGGTCAGCCAGGTCCCAGGTTTGAGGTCCCAGGGAACTTAGTCTGGAATCTATCTCCATAGTGCTGGCTTCATTCCTAACATCTTCAAGTTTTCACCCGAGAGTTGTATCTAAACCTTAGACAATATTCCTTATCATAATTATTTTTGTATAAAGGGGCCAAAAAGTAAGCAAGGCAATTATTCTTTTCTTTCCTCTAATGAAGCTCTCAGGGAATCTGGTCCCAATGGTTGTGAAGGTCTTGTAAACAGCTGCTCTGTAATTGCCCCAAACATTTTTCCGGTACTGAAGACTAAGACCATGAACCCCTACTCCTCACTTACTCAGTACCTTCCTGTGTTTCCAAGACATCCCAGTCCCTACGATGAACAGAAGCATTGACTAGTTATGCAGACGTGAAGAACACCTGGCAGCAATATCACCAACCTCCCTGGGTAAGATTACATCGGTATCTATTGACATGAAATTCTAGAAATCTTCTCTCCCATGTCTTCCAGATATAGGAAGTTAACAGCAGGAGTCCTGAGTCCATCAGATGTCACTCAAGATGAACCCATAATTGATCAACTGTTCCCCACGACTCTTTAAGACCCACCTAGGAGTTAGGTGGGTGGGGGAAGAACTGGGAAATTTACACAGAGACACATATAGAGTCCAGCTGTGTAGTTGCCTGTCTGTTTCTCAGTGTTAATGTGTGTTTTTCAATACAAAATAAGAATCAGTGAGTCCAGTCGGAAAAACATCAGAACCGAGTGTTGGAGATTGGGAGTGTAGGTGGGGTGGGAACGACACTCTTAACTCTGTGAACTGATTTGCAGGTGTGATCCTGCCTGGAGTCTGATTTGTCTAGGTTTCTGATTTCACTGTTGTCTATTCTCCTGGGTCCAGCTCATGAGAGGGGCAAACCAGTCGAGTGTCTCTGAGTTCTTCCTCCTGGGGCTCTCCAGGAGGCCCCAGCAGCAGCAGCAGCTCCTCTTCATGCTCTTCCTGAGCATGTACTTGGCCACGGTCCTGGGAAACCTGCTCATCCTCCTGGCCATCAGCATGGACTCCCGCCTGCACATCCCCATGTACTTCTTCCTCAGCAACCTGTCCTTTGTGGACATCTGCTTCTCCTCCACCACTGTCCCCAAGATGTTGGCCAACCACGTGCTCGGGAGCCAGACCATCTCCTTCTCTGTGTGTCTCACGCAGATGTATTTTCTCTTTGAGTTTACTGACATGGACAATTTCCTCCTGGCTGTGATGGCCTATGACCGCTTTGTCGCTGTATGCCACCCCTTACACTACTCAGCAAAGATGACACACCAGCTCTGTGCTCTGCTGGTCACTGGGTCGTGGGTCATTGCCAACCTGAATGCTCTGTTGCACACCCTGCTGATGGCTCGACTCTCGTTCTGTGCAGACAACACCATCCCCCACTTCTTCTGTGATGTGACCCCCCTCCTGAAACTCTCCTGCTCAGACACACGCATCAATCAGATGATGATTCTGACTGAGGGTGCTCTGATCATGATCACCCCATTTATCTGCATTCTGGTATCATATATCCTTATCACCTGTGCTGTCCTGAGAGTCCCATCCACAAAGGGAAGATGGAAAGCCTTCTCCACCTGTGGCTCCCACCTGGCTGTGGTTTCCCTCTTCTATGGCACCATCATTGGTGTTTATTTCAACCCTTCGTCCTCACACTCGTCTGAGAAGGACACTGCAGCTACCGTGATGTACACAGTGGTGACTCCCATGCTGAACCCTTTCATCTACAGCCTGAGGAACAGGGACTTGAAAGGGTCTCTTCAAAAAATGATTGGCAAGAAAATATGCTCTTACTAATGAAAGTACCATGGACCTATCATTCGCAGGCTTATAAATCTTTTCCAGCTCACTGAAATGTGGCAATCGGTCTGCCAGTATCTGCAAAGAACTGAGAATAAAGAAATATTCCGAATAGATACTTATCAATGAACTCTGACTTAAGTACAACCCTACTCCTTTAAACAGATAATTGTATGTTTCTAATTATTGTATTTTAAACTACTTTGCATAAAGGTCAAGTTTTTCCTTTCAAGTGATCACTTTGAAAAGTTACATGTAACAAATATTTTGGCATTTCCCTTTTGGAAATGACCTCAGAATCTACAGCAGTGGTTTTCAATCTTAGATGCATGATATTATCACCTGAGGGGCTTTGAAAGTATATATACTGATGCTGGACTAAACCTTGACCAATTAAATCATAATCTCTCTGGTGGAACTTGGGCATTGGTTTTTTTTCCTTTTAAAATTTCCCTGGGCGTTTTAATGTACTTTCTGGGTTGGCAATCAGCTGCAGAGATTGAAGTGATGCGTCTACAAGCATCACTACAGATTGCTTGCACTAAGCAACCCTAAATGACACCAAGGGTTGTTGGCAGCCACAGACACTAGGACAGATTCTCCTTCACACACTTCAGAAGGAATCAACCCTGCCAATACCTTGATTTTGGTCTTCTAGTCTCCAAAACCGTGAGACAGTACATTTCTGTTGTTTAAAGCTATCTAGTTTGTGGTACTTTGTTATGGCAGCCCTAGGAATCTAATTCTCCATTGCAATAGAATTGCTTGCCTTGTCTTTCCCATATGTCCTGTACAACTTTTTGCGGTTGTTTGCATTCTTCTTGGGTCTTCCACCATGATTATACAAGGCCCTTGCAACAGGGAATGGGTCATTATTCACGTTTGTACACTCAGTGTTGGGCACTTGGTCTGGTTCATGTGAAGTGTACAATGTTTCATGAAGAATAGCAGAAATTGATACCCTGAGGGAATTATTTTGTCTTTTTCTCCCCATGCTCCCTACCCCAACTAGGTTGTATCTCCATGAGTACAGAGACCTAGTTTTTTCAGCAGTACCCGGGATGTAGTAGTTACTGAACAATTATTATTTATCTGAATAAATGATATGGCTGAATCAATGTGGCAAGTCACTGAAGAGGAAAATGAGAAAGTTCCCTGAAGGAGTTAATGGGTTTGGTTCAGCTCTCTGCCACCTTCCAAGCCATATCGAAGCCTATGTGCATGTTGTAATGTAATTTTTTCATGGTTAATTTTTTTCTAGAACATTTTCACAAGGACTAACCTTCTTGTCCTGCTTTTTGTAATTTTTCACTTCCTCAACTCTGCTCAAGCCCCCATCATTCCCCCTCCCTACTCCCTCATTCTCCCTTTAAAATGCCCGATCATCTCTGCAGAAATTGTTCAGCTCCCTTCCCTTACAGTTAGTACAACAGTCCCCTCTTATCCACAGTTACCCTTTCTGAAATTTTAGGTTACTTGTGGTCAAGTGTGGTCCAAAAACATTACATGGAAAATTCCAGAAATAAATAATTCATGAGTTTTAAATTGTACACCACACTGCATAGCTTGATGAAATCTCATGCCACTCCTGCTCTGCCTGGCCCAGGATGTGAATCATGTCTTTGTCCAGTGTATCTCTACCATTAGTCACTTAGCAGCTCTCTGGGTTTTCAGATCGACTGTCTTTATATCGCAGTGCTTATGTTCAAGTAACACTTATTTCACTTGTTAATGGCCCCAAAGTGCAAGAGGAGTGAAGCTGGCAGTTTGAGTTCACCAAAGAGAAGCCATAAAGTGCTTCTCTTAAGTGAAAAGGTGAAACTTTTCAACTTGATAAGGAAAGAATAAAACCATCATATGCTGAGGTTGCTAAGATCTACAGCAACAATGACTCTTTTGTGAAATTGAGAGGAAAAAAGAAATTTGTGCTAGTTTTGTTGTTGCATCCCAAAGTGCAAAAGTTACAGCCACAGTGCGTAATGTGTGCTTAGTTAAGACAGAAAAGCATTAAATTTGTACAGTAAGGTATTTTGAGAGAGACCATATTCACATAAATTTTATTACAGGATATTGTTATCATTGTTTTATTTTATTAGTAATTATTGTTGTTAATCTCTTATACTGTCTAAATTACAAATAAAACTTTATCACAGGTATGTATGTATAGGAAAAAAAAACAGTATATTTGGGTTCAGTAGATCTGTAGTTTCAGGCATTCACATGGTTTTGGACCATATACCCAGGATAAAAGGGAAACTTCAGTTACTGAATAAAATCAGTTTCAACCGCTTTAACAAATGTCTGGCTGGAATGTATATTTGACACCACTTTCAGTGGAATCAAACATCAGTAATATTTTCAAAATCTATTTCTTTGCCTATCTCGGTTTCACCATAGAGAACTTGTCATTTTTCACAATTTTTCTTGATCAACTGAAGGGCTTAAATACTGTTAAATTAATTTCCATCTTATTGATTTTCTTTAAAATTTGGATATTTTCTTCGAAGATTTTTTCGCATTAATTTTGCTTTTTAAAAACATTGCATTGAAATATGATTTATCTTGAAAATTAAGCTTTTGGGGCTACCTGGAATTTTACACATCCACCCCCTACCTCCCCAGTGTCAGGAGTCTCCCCGCCGCGTGTAAGAGGACTTCGCTTTGCCGGCCCGCCACGCGCAGGCGCAGCGCGGGAGGCGCAGACTCAGCCTTCTCTCTTCCCGGAAGAGCAGCACACGTCCTCCTCCGGGGCCAATCAGAGGCTGCGTAGCCTGGCGCTCCTTGCCTCGCCCTTTGCAGATCTTTCTTTAACTATCCAATAATAGCGGACCAGCCCTCCCTCCCTCCCCGCGCTCCATGGGATCCTGCCCAATTAGAGAGAAGGGGCGGGGCCTCAGCTCTGCGCAGCTTCTGAAAGTGCAGCGGTCTGGGAGCTCCAGAATGGAGCTAATGTTCTGTGTTGCAGTAAGTGGCTCTGACAGTTTACTCCGAAATGGTATAAAGATACACCCTGGGGTTGATGCCCGCCAAACCTGGAAAACTGGCGGATCCCATGAGCCTTCCACACTTAACCTGGTCTCAGTCCTTTAGGTTTCTGCCCCATCCGTCTGCCCTTCCCTGTTAGGATGGGTCACGACGTGTTCAGGATTCCTATCTCTTCTCCCACATACCGGCACTGTCGGAAGTCATGGTCTGACTTCCAATGTGGATATCCTTTCAAAAGGCAGGTTGGCTGGGAAGCCAGCAGCGCAAAAACTGGTGTAGGTGACTCGGACATTTCTCGGAGTAAGGGCTCCTTTTACTCCGGTGCTGAGCCCCTGCTACTCTGTGTTCCCACGGGCAGGCTTCACTGCCTGGGTGATTGTTAGACATACATAATCTCAGGCTCCATCCCAGACTTACTGAGCCAGGATCGTCGCTTTAACAACATTCCTAGGTCTGTGTACATTAATGGTTGAGAATTACTACTTTAAGCTTCCCAAGATTTCTGGTCTAGCAGGGAATTTTGATGTATTGTAATTGATCCTGCAGACAGTGGCTTATACTGGAAACCTAAGATTTGAGTCTGGTAAGTCAAACTTAGGATCTTTATGACTTCCGAGGCATCATTCACTACTTAATCAAGATGATGTAATGAAACTGATGAAGTGGGATGTTATAGGTAGAAAACCTATAGTGAGCATGGGTATTTGGGAATGAGCAGACGCATTCAGGAGAGGGAAACTGGTGTACGCAAGGAGGTGCTTAATCAACCTGAGGTTGAAGGATTGTGTGTTAGGGACAAATGCATCTATTCATCAACTTGGCATCCCACTAACATCGTTTCTAACCAAGGAACTCACTTTATAATAAAAGGAATATGGTAGCCAGTTGTCAAGATGGTCCCCAGTCATCCTAGTCTTGTGTAATCCCTTCCCACACTGAATTTGGCTGACTATGTGTTTTAATTCACTTGGGCTGCTATAACAAAATACAATGGACTGGGCAGCTTATAAATAACAGAAATTTATTCTTCACATTTTGGAGGCTGGTAAGATTTTGATCTTGGGAAGTCCAAGATCAAGATGCCGGCAACTTTGATATTTGTGAGAACCAACTTCCTGGTTCACAGATGGTGATTTTTTTCAGTGTAATTTCATATGGTAAACAAGGGAGCTTTCTGAGGTCGCTTTTATAAGGGTACTAATCCTGTTGGTGAGGGCTCTACCCTCATGACCTAATCACCTCCCAAAAGCTTCAGCTCTTAATACCATCACACTGGGGGTTAGGATTTCAACATGAATTTTGTGGGTACACAAACGTTCAGTCCATAGCACTGTATAAGCTACAGGATGTTGTGGAAATGATGGTATGTGACCTCTGGAACTCCGTCATAAAATATATTGTGGCTTCCAGCTTGCTCTCTTGAGTCACTTGCTCTTGTGAAAACCAGCTACTCTGCTGCAAGAACATATCAATTTAGATCTATGGGAAAGTCCATGTGAGGCTTCCTGCCAGTAGCAATGTGAGCCATCTTAGAAGCTCATCCTCTAGCCACAGTCAAGCTTTCAGGTGACTGAGCCCTTGCAGACGATTTAACTGCAATATCATGAGAAGCCAGGATCCAGAACCAGTCTGCTAAACCATTACCAGATTCCTGAGCCATAGGAACTGTGTGAGATAAATGTTTACTGTTTTAAGTTGCTATGTTTTGGTATAATTAATTACTTGACAATAGATAACTTATACAAGGAATAAACTGGTCCATGGCATTCTTTTGTATTTACTTTTACACCATCATCAGGGGCAGTTGACCTTATGGAATAGAGAAATGGTCTATTAAAGACTTAATTTTGGCACCAGTTGAAGTTACTCTGTTAGGTTAGCCTGCTGTTTTACAGGCTACATTCTAAGTTTCATACCAGTGGACAATATATGCTGAACTTTTTCCCAACCAGGAACTTACGGGGCAAGGAAACAAGAGGTAGAAGTGGGCATCTCTATTTGTAGTACATAATGACCTACTTGCAAAATTTTGCTTTTTATCCTAGCAACACAGGGCTCCAAAGAGACTTCTTGCTGGCTCACATGGGCTCCTTTTGATACTGGATAAACTGACCAAAAGGAGATTCTAATGTTATGACACTGACTATCAGTAGAAAATAGTTTTTCTGCTACACAGTGGTAATAGAAAGGATTATGGATAGAAAGATCTCCTAGAGAGGATTCTGGAATTGCCGTGTCCAATGATGGCAGTGAATGAAAGACTAGGACAGTCTTACTTGGGCAAGATCATAAGGAGGTCAAATCTCTCAGACATGAAAATTTAACTTACTACTCCGATTTTTAAAACTTTGAATAGCTGAGATGCTGGCTAAAGATAAAGGGGGCATGTATTAGATGGTGGATCAGGAAAATTATTAATATGATTTAATCATCTGTGGCTACCTGTGGAAATGAAGTTTGCATCATCTGGTCATATTTTCCTCCTTCTTTTTTATGTATATATTTATGCATTTTAGCTAACTAGCTTTCTTCTTTCCTCTCCTTTTCTCCCTCTGTTTACATATCGCTACTGTATGTAGTTATTGGTTAGCTTTCAAATTTGATTCAGAAGTTATAGAATGTCATGATTGGAATAAGGAGGACATTGGTTTTGGACCTGGATACAGTAACTGATGGGATTTTGACTTATTCCTCCTGTTGTGAGAAGAATGGTTGTATCATGTTAGGCCAGAGAATTTCTCTTCCACTAAAGCGTAAATTGGTAAGAGGGATATGTGATAATGTGTAGCTGGATGGGTGGACTCTAGTAGGCATTTATCATGCTTTTCAACTTCCCAACTTCTGTAACCACTTCCAGAGCTTAGGTAATACCCTACTTCATAATTCTGGCAGGGAAAGAAGCCTACTTCTTCCTATATAACACGAAACTCTGACTAACCTATCTCCCAGCCCCTCTTGCAGTT